TAATAATACTTGGCAATTGGTTGATCTTCCTAAGGGAACTAAACTAATAGGATGCAAATGGATCTTTAAAAGAAAGTTAAGATCTGATGGTTCAATAGACAAATACAAGGCTCGACTGGTTGCAAAAGGATATCGTCAGAAAGAAGGAATTGATTTCTTTGACACATATTCTCCAGTAACAAGAATTACTTCTATTCGGGTTTTAATTGCTATTGTAGCCTTGTACAACTTACAAATACATCAAATGAATGTTAAGACTGCATTCCTGAATGGTGATTTAAACGAAGAAGTATATATGGAACAGCTAGAAGGTTTCATAGTAAAAGGACAAGAGAACAAAGTTTGCAAACTAGTTAAGTCCTTAGACGGTTTGAAGCAAGCTCCTAAACAATGGCACGAAAAGTTTGACAGCGTCATGATTAGGAATGGATTCGTCATAAATGGACGTGATAAATGCTTATATTCGAAAAAATTCGAAAAGGCATACGTACTCGTCTGTTTGTATGTTGATGACATGCTTATATTAGGGACTAATATAGAAGTCATCAATAAAACAAAGAATATACTTACCAATAACTTTGACATGAAAGATATGGGTGAAGCAGACGTGATTCTAGGAATAAAGTTATCTAGAACATCAAATGGAATAGTCTTATCTCAAACCCATTATGTTGATAAAATAATTGAGAGGTTTAAGACTCATAATATTAAAGAGACGAGTAACCCATTTCTTCCACATATAGTTCTTCACAAAAATAGTAGAAATGGGAAACAGCAGTTAGAATATTCCCAAATTATTGGTAGTTTAATGTAGCTGATGAACTGTACAAGACCTAATATAGCTTACTCGGTAAGTAAGCTGAGTCGTTACACAAGTAATCCAAGTAATCAACATTGGGATGCATTACTTAGAGTTTTGGGATACTTGAAACGGACCAGAGAGTATTCATTACATTATGGAAAATATCCTCCAGTAATTGAAGGATATAGTGATGCCAATTGGATATCAGATACAGACGAGTCAAAGTCTACCAGTGGCTATGTATTTACTCTCGATGGTGGCGCTATATCATGGAAATCTTCTAAGCAAACGTGTATAACTCGATCTACTATAGAATCTGAATTTATTACTTTAGACAAAGCAGGAGAAGAAGCAGAATGGTTAAGACATTTCATAGAAGATATTCCTATATGGCCAAAGCC